ATCTCCTTCCTCTTAATCCACGTGTATGTTCTTATGGTGCACACGTGGTTGCACGTTTAATATTCACATATAGGCTTGTGTACATTCAAGGATTAAGGCCTCTTGCGTACAAGCAACTAAATTGTTGGATTATTACGATTAAAAATATTCATCTTGACAAACAAACAATGTTAATAAATAAGAGTGTTAATTTATTTATATTTAGATATTTAACTCATTTCGTTCCTCCTATTGTTTATTAATAATTAATTTTCAATGATCAATCTTTGAATTAGAAACATGGATGATAAAGCAATTAATTATTTCAATGATAATGATATGTAATAACGATGTCAACGCAAAAGATTTATACAACGGTTCTAAATTAAACAATAAAACAATCATAATTATACGATATCTGTCTGTTAATTATAATACAATCATCATAAACGAGGTAGTATCGATTAATAAATCGATAATTAATTATCCATTGGTAAAATCGTAAAAGTTATTCGTATATTTTACAAACTCTAATAAAAAAAAAAAAAACCAAGTGTTTTTTCACGAAATTACGATTAATTACATTTTTGGTGGTGCTTCATCATCATAAACATAAAATGATGCATAGAAAATATACACATTGATAATATGTCGAATATGTGAATGTAATAAGAGGAAAATCAATTGATATGATAGAAAATACAGTTCTAAATATAACATTAATAATAACGTCGAATGTATTAAAATTTGCGTTTAACCGATCACGCGTATCGCGACACAACATCATCTCATGGTTATATCGTCTATATATATATAGACGATATATATAAATATAATAGTAGAATATCCAAAGGGATATGTATCTATTTCCTGGTATATTCAGTTTCCAATTATCCCTTGGGCTGATATCCCTACTCTTTGTCTAGACAAGGCTTTAATTCGTAATACCACTGGATTGAAACGCTTGCACAAATCGAAGTCATTCTTGACGGTAGGTAGGTAGGTAGATAGGTAGGTAGGTAGGTAGGTAGGTAGGTAGGTAGGTAGGTAGGTAGGTAGGTAGTCAGTGGTAGTGTTGGTTTGAAAACGCACACGTGCGCATCACAACTTCGTATTTCGTCGTTCATATTCCCAACCAATACGCGGGACCTGTCTGTTCCAATTATTAATGATTATTGATCTAAACGCGGTACCGTCATAGAGATGATATTTTCAATAAAACTTGCACAAGATTTCCAATAGCTAAACATGAATGCTCTCTCTTTCTCATAATGTTGTAAATTATTTTATTAAAATGTATATTATTCTATTGATTTATTATTTTCATAGCTTTATAGATGCACGTTTTTTCTTAGAATTTGAAGCAGTTCTATATTCGCAATCTGTAATATATTATAAAACTATATTTCTTATCGTTTATTATATATAAGTACATTTGAAATTACCCAAATAAATAAGTATTCATAGAAAGGAGAGAATTCAAGCTTTGAGATAAGTTATATTAATTGCAAAGTGACTTTTGTAATAGATACATTTCGAAAAGGTCAAAGTAGTTAGTAAGTTATCTTAATTTTTCATTTATTTTCCTTGGCAAACGTGTAAATATAATCAATTTTCTCATCCGCAGTGCGCTGCCATTCGCGTTAATTATTTATACAAGCAACACGACTGACTTCATTTTCCTTTTACTCATCAATCGCAATTATAATGAATACCGGACGATGATTCTTCCTACTGCATATTTCCGTAGATAAAAAAGCGAAACTGAGAAAAAGATAACGATGTTTGCATAAAAAAAAATAAAATGTGTTAAAAAGTCCATAGGCGTAGCCTAATGATTTATTCTATTAAAAAAATATAAGTATAGCTAATAAATTCCAAAACTTTTGGAATTAAACGAGAAGTGAATTTTAAACAACCGAGAGATGCTTTGAATACTTTTGCTTTTTTTTTTTTATTTAATTATAAATTATTAAAATTTTCGCGACATTTTCTCCGTCTTAAGGAGAAAGTAAAGAAAAATTATTTATCGTTCACAGATGCGTAAGAACTTTTTTTTAATCTTTTTTTTTTTCTTCTTTTTTTTATGATTTTCCCATTTGTTCGTAATCAGTGTTATTATCTAAACACTATTCTACTCTCGTACAATTGGAACATGCATACAGACATAAGTTTGATGACTATTTTAACGTTTACGTTCGAAAGCTCTCGCACGTGCGATTGATTCGTAATTTAATGAGAATGCATGGGTCATATATCTTTCGTTATTGCCTCGGTACGTGATCCGGACAACGAAACTACCGCATCCGTTATCTCGTACGACGCTATCGCATTTCGTTTTTCCGCGTACGAGTTTTGCACTTTAATAATTATCCTTCTCCCTGTGAGTGCTTTTCATTGTTTCCTATAAACTACAAAAACGTCGAACTTTTTTTCCATATTCTATAAGTATAGGTATATATATAAATAAAATTATTAATTATAATGTGTTACTTGTAAAAAAAAAAAAAACGCTCACGAATTCGCTATAATATTTTGTCCAAATAACAAAATGAAAAATTACAAATTTCTTCGAAAATGTAAAACAAATAATGTTACGATAAAGGGTTTTCTTTTACTCCCTTCTTATTTTCTTCTTTTTGTTCCTTTTTACAATGAGTAACTAATTTAAAGATATAACTTATGAATAAAAACATGAAGTAATTTATTTAAAAAAAGGGATATGAGTAAAAAGAAGGGCGTGTCACTAGGGCGATCGAGGGTCGTTGAATAATCGAGGAAAATTTTACGAAGCGAGCCTCCACACAACGCCCAAGGGTGCAACCCAGACGTATTTTCAAGCGGGCCTCGTGCGAAAGATAAAAGGAAAAAGAAAAAAGCGCTCTCGCGATTCGTCGAGACGACGAGAGAGAATACGCGGCAAGTAGTAGCAGGAAGTCACCCTTGTAAAACCTTCACACAGTTTCTATCACATTCGATGGTAGTGGTCCCTTTAAAATGCATGAAACACCGTCATGAAACTGCTGTCATGAAACGCGTCGTCCACCACCAACAAAACAGACCCTTTTTCTATTACGAACCAATCCTTCTCTTTGCATTTTCGTGTGTGTTTGTGTGTGTAAATTTGTAGCATAAGTCTTTAGTCACGACGTCAAAGGACACCACGATATCATCACGTTCATATATTTAACTTTTAACTATGTATATATAATATATTTTGTTGTACACATATTATATTATACATACGTTTAATATGTTTACTAAATTACATGTAACATATTCTAATAATAAATAAATATGTATATACTTTGATTAGGAAAATGTAATAACATCTTTTTACGAACCATTACTCGTAAGATATATATGTTCATCATGTATTTCTTTCCTTTGAATACATTCGAAATTCTACAGGAATAGAAGAGCGAGCTCCTTAACGAATTTATTTTCAAGTTCGTCGTCCTCCATTCTGTAAAGAGTATCATGAGCAAGCACAGTGTTCTTTCTTCTCTTCATCCAGCTTTACGTACGAGCTTATTTTTCGGCAAAGTACACATAATTTATACTCACGTGAAAAAGAATGAAGAAAAAAAAAGCAAAAGAAAAAGTAAAAGTTAAATCCTTGCGACTACAGTCAAAATGGAGGTGAAATTTTGAAGCCGACTATAGAAATAAGATTGTTCATATGATATTCTTAGCTTCCTTATGCGAAGGTGCTATCCATTATTCCATAATATCGATGGGCTCCTAGATCGTTCTTGATAAATCGACCATTTCGTCAAAAGAAAGAAGATAAGCCGAGTCAAACGACGATTTTTTCTCTCTCGTCTCGTCGCGTTTCGTCTCCTCTCGATCGTGACGTTTAGAAAATTGTCGAGCAAACTTAGGTTTTTTTTTCTTTTCATTTTATTTTTTATTTTATTTTATTTTATTTTTTCTTTTTCACTTGAACTTTGAGTGAGAGGACATAATAATACGTCGTTAAAGATCTTCGAGGAGTTCCTTTATCTTCTAACGTCATCGTGACTTCATTATTTTCTTTTCTTTTCTTTTCTTTTCTTTTCTTTTTTTCTTTTTATTTTTTCCCTTTTGATATCGTTCATTGGTATTTCAACGAATGAAGACAAGACGAAGCAAAAATAAAATGTTCCATCCTACGCTATAATTATTTCACTAGAAATTTGAACAAAATATAAAGAAGAACGTTTTGTGTAATCCGTTATATATGATCGTATAATAATTTGATGGAAAAGAGTTATATGGGACACCCTGTACATATGATTAAATAAATAAATCATAGATAACACCATAGTTTGATGTCATTGAATAAAACATCGAATAAAAGAAAGCGATAAATGCGATGTTCTAGTCGAAAGTTTAAGCGTAAAATCGCTTGACGCGTTAGAAAATCACCATACTAATTTCTCCGGAGAGTTAAAATTAATCTTAATTACGGTAAATATTAGATATTAATTAATTCCGAAGTAGGCCGCTATACGAGTTTTACGGACAACCAAGCTTAATGAAGCTTTCAGAAGGCAAGGATAACTTTTCTGACAGTTTCTGCTTTCCAGGAACCTTCATTATTTTACAGAATATTCAGGTCCAACCGAGTACGATATTGTACGACGAAAATTTCAGTACTGTGTCATCGTTACGATTGTGTCAAACGTTTAAACAATTTCAAACATATTCTTATTCTACTTGACAAAGTCTTTAAAAAAACAAACTTGTTAGACGCGTCATTTTTCGTGGAGAACCAAAAAATACAAACAAAATGGAAAATGTATTATCATATTTAATAATTCACAAATGTACTTTTTCGTTATTCGTAGCGAGCAAGTCCAGACAACTCGTCACGTTCTAACAATGACAAAATTAAACAAAAATAAAAATAAAAATAAAAGAAAAAGAAAGAAAAAAATGGTGTCTGCAACGATCGCAGAGATAAACTAAACTAAACGAAAACTTTTGGATCATTTAAAATTGCTCATTCCTTTTTTTGTTTTATTTTTATCTTACAGAAAAAATGCCACAACTCTGGAAAAATTTCATCTACAAATCTCCAGGACGGAATTATATCCGAAAGATTCTATTTACGTGGATGAATTGTTACGTCAAATGGCAACGCAAACTATCACTCACGTTGGTAAGTTTTCAAAATCGTTTATTCTCTTTCTCTTTTCTCTTATCTTGATAATATCTTACAAGCCGTTATATTATATCGCGTATCATAAGAAAGCTTTTAAAACGAACATGTACAGGTCGTTCGTTATGATTCGTTCGACGATCCGATAGACACTTTTTTTTTTTCTCTTTTTTTTCTCTTTTTTTTCTATTGTAAAAACGATCTACGACGACTCGTGCCAAGAATTTTTTTCCACCTTTATGTGAAAATAACAAATGGCAAAGGCCACAGCTGCTACGAGAAAGTACATTTTCAATTTTACGTTTATTCCGAAATTAATCAAATTCTTTTTCTCAAAAGAACAAAAAAAAAAGAAAGGGACTACACTCATCCTTTAAAAGAAAAATCTCAGTCCGATTATTCTCGAGTAATATTTAACGAGAAAACGAAATATAAGACAGCTTAAAGTTATCTCTTTTTACCTACTTTGTATGTGTACGTATAAGTGAAATATATTTTTCGATTAATAAATCATTCGAATCGTTTCGAATGATTTTATATGAGAGGTGATACAATAAATGAAATACAAAATTCTTTGCGAAACATTTCATTTAAAAACGTTAAACGTGTATAATACGATCATTCGTATTATATTTTTCAAACTGATTTCAAATCAAATTTTACTGAAAACTAGTTCGTACATAATTTTATAATTATTCGTAAAAAAGAAAAAAAAAAATATATATATATATATATAGTTATAAGGAGAAATTCTATTTTGATTGGATTATAGTTTACGACATTGTTTCGTCTATTATTCGATACCACGTGAATCGCGTGTTGTTGCTCTCTCTCCCTCTGTGGTTATGTATGTGTGTGTGTGTGTGTGTGTGTATATCGGTAAAGCATTTTATCAAAATAACAGGAATATTCTGCGAAGCGTCGGATTCTTTCATGAAAAATATGTATCCCCTTTTTCAAACAATGCCCTGTCGCTCGATGATAACCTCCGTCGATAAAGCATTCTCGTTTAATTCGAAGAGACGCACGCGTTTACTCGTGTGAAAATTGTTCGGAGAATAAAAAAAAAGAAAAAAAGAAAAAAAGAAAACCAAAAAAAAGAAATAAAAAGAGAGAAAATTTGGCTATGTACGAATATACAGATAAATATAGGTTGGTGGTAATAGTAAGCACCATATAAAATGTTGCAAATACTGATACGTAATAAAATTGTTTGTATTTTTTTTTTTTTTACGCGAATAATTATAGAAAAAAGAAAAATAAAACATATATAATGTATATGCATATATACACGTAATAAATAAAATATGAAAAACTTTAGATACCGCATCCGTTAACGGAGCAAATGAATTAATCTGCAGATTAAACTTTAGTAAGTAATGTGCACATTAATAATTTTCGAACTTTAACCGTAACGAAAAGATTTATTTAAAAATAATGAAATTATTATTATTTCTTAAATATGAAAATCGTTAATACGAAACATTATTTAACAGTATTTAACAAACAAAAAAGAAAAAAATGATAACATCAATCTAAATCGAATTGTCATCGATGACCCATATACGCGAATGTAATATACAGATCCAGATATACACACAGATTTACCTATATAACATGCACGTGTATGCTATTTATATCGAACGAAAATAAATAAACTCGAAGGATAAAAATAAAAATGAAAATGAAAAATAATAATAAATGCATCTTTCATCGTCAATCGATAGTTTCAATAAAATCAATAGTTTCGCAATAGTGATCAATTTTTAAGAAATCAATCGAAAGTTACGTGAACACGATACAAACTTAACATTTTCTATATCCTTAAGAGTTTCTAATTTGATTTTTATCAAAATTTGAACGGTAAAACGCATTGCAAGTTTTTTTTTTTTTTTTTTTTTTTTCTTTAATTTTAGAGATTTTTAATTTATTTTAGACAAAGGAGGTCAATCTAACAATTTAATTAACTCGACTAACGTTAACTGCATTATCTTATTATTTTTTTACGCTTCCAACATGAAGTTTGTATGTATGTGAAAGAGAAAAAAAGACTTCTCAAAATTTGATTCTATTCTATTAAATTATTTTCATTTTGAAAGATATAAAAAGTTACAAACACAAATTCATTAAAGTATTACTATTAATCGAAATGTTGTAAATTAAAATCAATTCAATTTTATTTCAAACTAATAATATCACGTCTAAGAATAGAATAATCGTAGATTCTCAAAATTATGTCAGACAAATTATTTGTAAATGACAGTTATACGAAAATACAAAGTAAATGAATATTTATACGTGACATTTTCCCTTATATTTTTTATTATTAACTATTAATATCTGTAACCGATTTCATTTTTATATAACGGATGGACATTAAAATTAAAATAATTCTTTTGACAGAAATAAATGTAAAAAGGAAATCATTTTACCACCATTTATGGTTTCTTCGCGAGCATCGCAATTATCGAATTACGTAAATGTCAGGATAATTCAATCGGCTTTTACTAAGGTACAACAAAAGCTAATATAATAATATTTTAACTCGTTATTATAATATTTAAAAAAAGAGAATAACAAAATATAAATACATATTAAATTAAAAATAAACTTTACGAATAACTAAAAGTTTAAATGTAAAAGATTCAATTTACTCGTTTCTCTCTATATACTCGTATATAATCAAATAATTCAACAATATAAATAACTTACAATTAATAATACTTTTCTACCACAAAGAAGAATTAAATTATAAATTTAATGTTATATTAAATAAACATTTTATATAAGAAAACTATTAGGTCGAGTCATAAGTAACTTCCGATGCGGCTATGTAGAATCTATTTTTCGTAGTTACCTACTATAAGTCACCGAAACAAACGGATTTTCGATATCACTATATCGATATCACGATTCAGTTAGTCTTCTGTCAACTTTTTTATGTAGTCAATGTTACATTTAACCGTTTTTCTTAACCCCTTGACCTATTACCACGAGTCAGACTCGTGGTAAAAAGTTTGTGCTATAAGCAAATACCACGAGTCTGACTCGTGGTAAAAAGTTTGTGCTATAAGCGAATACCACGAGTCTGACTCGTGGTAAAAAGTTTGTGCTATAAGCGAATACCACGAGTCTGACTCGTGGTAAAGAATATGTGTTTTAAACGAGCGGGTACGCAGCGGAACAATTGAATGGCACAGCGCGCGACTGATTTTCAAGTATCTTATGGCACGCGAAATTGTCATATATCGCATAGGTCAAGGGGTTAACCACTAAAATGGATAGCAAAAAGTGCACATTCGATATGTAATGCTTTAGGAATTGAAACAAGGCAATAGCACTAAGGTGGCAACTGAAAAAATGTGCAGCGTATACAGTGCAGGACTGATAACTGATCAGCAGGGATCAGAGCAGTCAGAAATTGGTTTGTAAAAGTCCGTTCTGGAGATACGATCTTAAAAGATGAACCGAGTGCAGCGACGTATTTTTGACTTTGATGAACCTTTTAAAGGTAATATTGGAGCAAAATCCAATAGATACGTTGAACAATTGCAAAGAGTGCAAAAAAAAACTCCATGAAAGGTGTCTTGCACTTATCAGTCGCAGAAACGCCATTCTTTGTCTCCTAAAAAACGGAAGTTATTTATGACTCGACCTAATATAAGCAACGCATGACCATCTACATTTCCTAATTTCATAATAAAATAAGTAGAAGAATAAGAATAAACGTTAATCTCGATTTAGATTTGACATGTTTCATCGAAACACGTGATTTCTATCGACTATGAGAAGGAAATCAATGTGAAAAGTAATTGGGAAAGGGCTTTTAACAGGGAGTAACGCGAAGAACAGAGAATTTAATGATAAAAGGCATGAGCCTTTAGAAGCTCGTCAAACGAAGAAGCCTTCAGGGTCAAATAAAACGAGTCGATATCATCCCTATTAACCTTTCAAAGGTCCAACGATTAATTATCTTTCGCGATAAATAGAGCATGTTTATCCGCACGTACTACCTACTCGATGATGCACGATGCCCATGGATCGCATGATTGGTAGAAAGGAAGAAAGGGAGAGAGGGAGAGGGAGAGAGAGAGAGATCAGAGAAATGACATGATTTCGTGCCGCTTTCTATTCGCTTACGCGATAATTCAACACACGCAAAATTCAATCGTATGTTTGTAAGATAGTTCTATGCCCTAGTATTTTAGTAATCATTAAACTTTAGCCAAGTATGAAATCGTATTATACGCTCTATCGAATATAAATAAACCATTTCAACAAATAATAGACAACAAATAATAATAGTCGAGGAAAATATATAGAAATTTGTAATGTTTTTCTTTTGTTTTGTTTTATTTTATTTTGTTAACAGTTCAGAAGGAAGGTGGTACTCAATTGAAATTAGTCATCGACTATGCGAACAACATGCAAGCACTTTTCAAACCAATGAGGTAAGTAAATCTATCCTTATATGGTAAATTCTGAAATTCTTTAAAAAGAAATTATTTAACATAAAATAATGAAGAAGTATCTTACGTTTATCTATTGTTACAAAGAGATAAGGTTGGAAGGATATGTTATATGATAAACACGATTCATTATGAACATACTTTCACAAAACGAATTAAAGTTTAAATGGCAAATAGTTTTCTTAAGTCTTATGCATGCGGAAACGATAATATTACGGAGGTGAAAAGTTCGATACATTATATCTTAGTTGCATGAAATTAAACAAGGCTAATAATTTGTCCGCTTGTTTTCGGCAACTCGTTTTCAGCTCGAATCCTTTCGAAAGGGTCTGCAACCTGATAGTCACCCCCCACCCACCCCCTCCTTTCTCACGTACATATACTTCGCGATAAGAGAATGAAATTATAAGATTGAAACATTGGGCAAGTTGTGATACAACGAGCGAACGTCGACCTCTCAGACGAAAACGCACAGTAGTTTCAACGGTAAACAAACTTAAAATCCTCCGAGAAAACGACAAACTAGAGAGTGAACTTTTACAATTTTACATATTACATTTGCTTATATTACTATTATTCTTTTATATTACAAAGATAATTACAACGATAATTATTAAATATATTTTTGTCATCTGTTCATTCTGATCTTAAAATACATTATATTAGAACATTTACATTACGAAACTTAGAAATCGATAACATGCACTGCAATATGTCAGAACGTTTCTATAGGAACCTTTAAATTGAATCAAATTATTATTTCATTATTCATTAACAGAGAGAGTTAACAGAGAGCTAACAGTTAGAGTCGTATTTAAATATCATCGATATTACAATTAGGAAAAAAAAAGAAGAAGAGAAAAAAGAATAATAATTTAGAAAATCAATAGGAAAACAATATTGTAAGAAACATCGATCATTGCAGCTATATAATCTCATAAGCAACATAAAAATATTATAACCAAGAGCTCACTTACACACACATAAACACAAACACCCATATGTTAGATATCAAGTCAGTAGTTTTTCCTGTGGTGCAGAGCAACGAAGTTACGTGGATGGGATTACGAGCACAATTACATAAGTGGACTCCCAAGTGCCTCGTGCCGTGAGAGACCCACTCGAATTGGCCTTGCTCTTTCTCTTTTATACAGCCTCCCTTTCTTCTTAGTTTCTCTCTCTTTCTCTCTCTCTCTCTCTTTCTCCTTCTCCTTCTCTTTCTGTCTGTCTCTCGTTTCACCTTGTTTATCTCTCGAGCCTACTCACGTCTTTGTCTTCTTCTTTTTCTTTCTCTCCTTCTCTCTCTCCTTCTCTCTCTAGCTTACTCTCTCACAAACACACATTCTCTTACTCTTTCTCACTGACATCAGCCTCTCTTGAAATAAACGATACGTCACATCCGCCATTGTTTCAATTTCTATTTGATAGGATCCTCCTCTTCATACTTGTAAGTGCAACATCGTTCGTTCGAGAAAAAAATGTGAGAAAGATGTGTGTTAGTACTGTATTTTACACCTATTATATTATAATACATCTTTACGACTTTACATGTACATTTTTCCTACAATATTTTTAATATTTCTTTCTCCCTTCCCCCTTTTTTTTAATACCACGATATAAATTATCAAATAATAAAATTTCATAAGGGTTCAAAGTAGCGAAGGAAAAAGCAAAGAAGAAAGAAGAATTGTGTTCCGAGAGTGTGTCCGAGAAAGAAAATAAAACAAAATAATAAAAAAGGAATTCGTAATATCCAGAAGCGGAGAGAAAATTCGAGACAAGGGCCATCGTGTGGCTTATTGCATTCTATCTCTTTCTCTCTCTTTCTCTCTCTTTCTTACTCCTCCTGATGTTTCTTTTTCCATTTCACTCTCGCTCTTCGCACATTTGGCCCTTTAAACTTCCGGTCGGCCGAAGATTTCGCGATAAGTGGCCGAGCCACGAGTTTAAACTCGTAATAAGTTCGGCAATAAGTTTCTTCGAAAAGTTTTGTAAGAGAGAGAGAGAGAGAGAGAAAGAGAGAGATGAGGACTCTCGTGAGAGAATTTCATCCGAAATTGCGAACATCGTCGTCTATTCTCGGCCGATGCAACCAATCTCACCAACACCACCAATCCCTTGCAATAAGCTTCTCGTAACACACGTAAAAAAAGACTCTGCTTGTGTTTGTTTTCAAAACTACGACCAAATATCTTGATTAAATTCCATTTTATTTTATTCCTATGAATTTAATTAATTGTTTATTTAAATGAATTCTTTTGTAATGATCGTATTATAAAAGGTTGTTTAATTGTTCTTGTATTTTATATTATCTCTTGTTAGTTTTTTACTTGCAAAACAAGCAAACTCACGACTGAACTCAAACAGATCGTTTCGTAATCGTGTTCTTCTTCGAACATCCAAATCGAACGAACATTTCTTTCCATTTTGTCGAATCGGTTTTTACTTCTATCTCCTAGCATTTATCGTTCAAAGTTTTGTCAAACTTCCCTAACAGAAAAAGTTCCTTTTTATATTATATTCGTGTGGATTTTGGACGGGCTAAACTTTTTCTCCTTTTCCTTTTTATTTAATCTCGGTAACTTAAACTCCACAATCTAATAGACTTCGATCGGATTAAAAACTTTCTTGCCGTTTCTAATTACTATTCCTATCTTCGAATATTATAACAATGATTTATAAAGAAAAAAGAAACTCTATTACTTTTGACAAATATTATCATTTCTTCATTTTTCACGTATCATTCTAATTAGTAAATAGTATTTTTTGTTAAATCTCTTTTTAATCGAATTCTTCGTGATCGAATGATAATAATAATAATAATTATTATTATTATTCAATGAAATTCAACTTAATATAAAATCAATCGACATTAATTCTTCTTAGGTTCAAGATTCCATTTATTATTCCATTTAGTAAGTTCGTAAAGCGTAAGATTCATTTGAATTTCATAAACCTTCTTCCTTTCAACTATCGATACTTATCTCTCTTCTTTTTCTTTTCCTTCTTCTTCCTCTTCTTCTTCGCATCTTGCCAGTATCATCCTACCAACCCAACCCTCCTTTTTCCTTCCCCACAATCGTGAGGAACGTGAAAAAAAAAAAAAAAGAAAAAGAAAAAGTTTGAAAAACAAACAACCCTTGATACGATAGAATATTCTCACGAGTAAAGTGGAAGTTAAGTCGTATCAAGGAAAGAGACAAATATATATATATATATATATATAGATTATATAGATTCGAAAGAAAGCCACCTTTACTGGTGGTGACGCGATTCGGTTGGAGACAAGCGCAAACGACTGTTAACTTTTAATCAGATGCAAATTACGCACTAATTACAGTACCACCGATGTATTAATTAGTCCGGCTTGGAAGGAAAAGTTGTCGACTGCATAGGACGAATTTAGAGATTTTCTTTCTTCTTATTTTCCTTTTTTTTTCTTTTTCCAATTGTTCGATATATTTGTGCATAATTCGATTGCATTTGTGTATAAACTCTAAGAAACTCAATTTTAAGGGATATCTGACAATGAAATCTTTTCGTATAAACTTTGTAAATGTATTTTAATATAACACCCATAATATATATTTATTACAATACTTAAAATATATTCAATTTATTATAATAAATTATAAATTTTTGTCCATTGATCATTAATAAACCTGCAAGTGATTTAAATTTATTAACTGTGTTTATGTCATGTGAAAAAAAAAATAAATAAATAAATAAAAAAAATCAAATTAATTAAGAAATACTATAACAAACGAAAAGAAGAAGATAAGAAAAAAAAGGAGGATAGAAAAAAGCAATCGTACTTTCTCTCTCGTCAAGAGAGGATAAATCAATCTACGTCTTTGGAGTATCACGGCTGTTCTTTTTCCTTTTTTCTTTTTTCTTTTTTCTTTTTTTTATAGATTCGATCAACGAAACGGAACGAAAGTGAAAGATCCCGAATGAATGCTCTTTCATCGAAGATAGAATTGAAAGCGATGAAATAGAATATACTACTACTACTCACTCGATGGATTTCGTATTCGGAAAACGCTTGAAAAATATCCGTTTGTTCTTTTTAAAGACAAAAAAAATAGTAGACGTACTCTTCCGCTAGCTTTAAAGGAATTCGTGCGACGTGCTCGAATTTTAGGTTCGGTGGTTATTGTCTGCAGTAGGTACGCGTATACCGGGTGGCCCCGTAAAACCAGCTGGGAGCTCATCGAGTAAATATTTGATCACGAAGAGGGTTTGCCATGCTCTCGTAGAAGCCAACGCTTTCACCCCAACCACCCAACTACCCCATCCTCTTTTCCTTCTCCTTCTCCTTTTCCTTCTTCTTCCCTTTTTCCTCTCTGTTCTCACCACACTATGTGGTGATCCTTCGACCCAGAAACCAATAAAACTTGGGGATTTTGTATTAGCATTTTGTCCCACTCTCAAAGTAGCTCTAGCTATCCTCGTTCCTTTCTTTTATACCTGGGCTTTTTCTTCTAAATCAAACCATACGAACTTGCAGATTTTCAATCGCAATATCAACCAATATACGTACTTTTATTTATTTCTATTTCTATTGTTATTGTTATTTAATGTTAACTAATATTTAACTCTTTGTGACACGCTGGGATTAAAAAGTGTTTCACCTTTTTGCAATTGTGGAAACATTTCTAACCCCACCTCACATAATGTTCATTTGTTTCTTTTTATCAAGAATTTTCTCAAATAAAGGCATGTATTTACACACACAAAAAAAGAAATAAAAATAATAATAAATAATCGAATTGTTTTTCATTGACATAGTTCATGTGACGTTATAGCAACATGTTCGATTTAATTAACAGAATCGATCAGTAGATATATATTTAATTAAATGTTTATATCAAGCAAATTAGAACGAGGGTAGCCCAGGTTGTAATCGATACTAACGTGTCGATTTCGTTAATTTCATTTAATTATATATGTATAATTATGTGTATGTGTGTGTATTTGTGCGTAAATAGTTTCAATTCAATACGGTTTCAAGTATATTCGTCTTCTTTTAGGTTTCCACGAGAGCAACAAACTTTACCAAACCATTTTTATTTTACCGATTTCGAGAGACACACGGCAGAAATCGCATCTTTTCATCTCGACAGGTAAGATTTTCACCTTTTTTAAAAAAGAACAAACAAATTCAGAAAATAATAATCTTACAAGAAATTATACACCAAAATTCTTGAATTGTTTGTAGATTGTTTGGTTTTCGACGAGCAATGCCGGTGACAGGAAGAACGTTGAACATAACAACAGAAATTTACAACATAGCCGATGGCGAATTACTGAAGACCTTCTTCGTTAGTCCAGCAGGTAACCTTTGTTTTCACGGAAAGTGCAGTTACTACTGTGACACGGCGCATGCAGTTTGCGGCAATCCGGACACCTTAGAGGGTAGTTTTGCGGCTTTCCTGCCAAACAAATCTTTCGCTACAAGAAAGGCTTGGAGGCATCCTTGGAGAAGAAGTTATCACAAACGGAGGAAAGCTCAATGGGAGCATGGTATTGATTATCTTTCTCCTCTTATTATTAGTAATTATTTAACGATTGAAATAAATGAGAAAACAAAACTATTTGGCAGACTCGCAATATTGTTCACTGGTGAAAGAGATACCACCTTATGACGAGGGTAGAAGACTACTCGATTTGATGGACATGTCGGTTTTCGATTTTCTAACTGGAAATATGGATCGACATCATTACGAAACATTCAAGATATTCGGGAACGACACGTTCACCCTTCACGTTGATCATGGTCGTGGCTTTGGAAAACCATTTCACGATGAGACATCTATTCTAGCACCAATCTTACAATGTTGCATGATCAGACAAAGCACATTGGCTACATTACTCAAGTGAGTTCTCCTATTTTTATAACTGCGAGACAAAAATGTTGACATTTTCCTCCAAATCGGAATCGGAATCTAGAGTGTTTTATCGAAATTGGCATGAAGGAACGATGCGTTTTTCGAATGTGCCGTGTTACCATCCTGACGAAAAAAAAACCCTCCAAAAAATACGAGCAAACGATAAATTCGCGCTAAAGTAGTCCTCGTTCTCTCGGATTTTTTCTCTCCTCGGACAGCAGCTCTTTTCTCTTTCTATCTCTACGCGATCCTGACTTTTTTACGAGTCTTTGCACCGGTTGTTAAAAGAACAAAAAAATTGAATAAATCCTAACATCGTCGTTTTGGGATTACAATGTCGACGAATCAAATAATTTCAATGAAAATTATTCTCTTTACTTTATATCCTATTTTCGTTTGAGATCAGATTTACGTTTCACTATGATAAATACGAATTAAATATATATAGCAGACCGGAACGAAACGGATCGGATCGGAACGATGACCGTTTACGATACGATCTGTTAGCTGAAGACAGTATATCCCTTTTGACAGTAGTATAAAGTGCTCGGCAACGAAGTAGTCGCAGGAAGTTATTATCCTATAATATCACATTTAATGGACACCGTGTGGGTTTCTTTAACAAGTAGTACGATTTCATTCGAAGCGCTACTTAGAAGGAAGCAAGCCTAATTATATCTAATTCGTATTTATCACCACGTAAGAACGTAACTCGTATCGATCGAATGTAACGATAAAACACCTACTATACGAGTATATATAGTAGGTGTATATGGGCACAAAAATTCATATTTTTTCTTTTTTTCTTATTTCATTCGTATAACAATAATATTTGTTTTTGTTTAAAGATTTCACAATGGACCGACACGTCTGAGCGTAGCCATGAAGCAAAGTATGGCTCGGGATCCAGTAGCGCCAGTTTTATGGGAACCCCATTTGACCGCTTTAGATCGAAGAGTTGGTATCATTTTACAAGCTATCAGAGATTGCGTAAATCGCGAGGATTCCGATCAATTGGTCGTTCAATCTGAAAAGAAAAAGAAAACTACAAAATCCTAACCATTTATTTAACGAAAAACACCACACAAATTCAAGATCCTCATTTTGATTGGATTTTGAAAAATACAAGACGATTCAATCGTATCCTATGTACATACGAATGTATAATAATAATCATCATTATTATTATTATTATTATTATTATTATTATTATTATTATTATTATTATTATTATTATTATTATTATTATTATTATTATATT